TAAACACATATGCAGGCAGATTCATAGAATAAGTTGGGGCAGGACATACACACACAGAGCCATCAACCTTGGATGGAAACTATGGAAGTCCTCGGATAGAAGGCTAGGATTAAGCAGCCAGGGAGATGATGAGGAGGATGGGGGTGGATTCTGATATTCCTTAACACTTTGAGTACAGTCATTTATAATACCATGTGGTGTAACAACATGGACAGATGCATTTAGTGGGCACCTAGTGTATGCCAGGCACTAAGCCAGAGGCACCAGACACTCATTTACTCCACCCTACAACCCCATAGCATTGCCCTTCTTTTACCGGGAGCGAAGCTCCAACAGACAAAGTGATGGCATCAAGTAGGAAACACACGTCTGCCTGTGCGCAGCACCTGCCCCTCGGTGCACAGACCACTGATCCAGGAGGCCAAGGCCCTGGGAGCCAGCAAATGCTCCCAGACCCTTCCTGTCCACCCCAGCCCACTCTGGTCTCAGCTTCCTTGAAAGGACGGGAAGGGGTATGTGAGCAGAGGGAGGACACTGGGGGGTCTTGTGGTTAAACTCTCATCTCTGTAGTGCCCCGGGTGGATCTGAGCCTGGCCACAGAGCTTAAGCTCATCCCTTCACTCATCCAAGCTTCGCTTTAGTGGCAGTAAAATGAACTAATAAGAGCTATTGGAAGTGTGGGATAAATAAATAAATAAATGTGTGGAGAAAGTAAATAAATAAATGTGGGGGAATAAATAAATAAATTATGGGGGAAAATATAAATAAAAGTACAATGGGAAAATAAATAAATAAATGTATGTGTGGGAAAAATAAATAAATAAAAGTGGGGGAATAAATAAAAGCGTGGGGGGAAATAAGTTAAAATGGGGGGAAGTTATTGGGAATTACATGAAACAATGTATGTAAAGAGTTAGCACTGCAAATGCGCAGCGAATGGCTGCTGCCATCATCACCATTAGTATATATAGCATGATTACTATTATTATTATCATTACACAAAATGACAGCAGTGGCTTGGCCCCTGATATCCTTGTTTTCTGTTGAAGGAGATGTAGGCGAGAGACGAGATAAGCTTCAATGAGGAAAAGAAAAAAGACCTTGTGTTTAGTCAGTGGGCAGGGGTCCTAGAAGTTGTGGTGGAAGGTGGGATGGTGAAGCAGAGGGGTTGTAATTAGAAGTTGGACCCACCAGGTCAGCAGAGTAGCTCATTAATTCCTTCTGATCTGGGGATCTGAGGGGCTCTCTCTCCCTCCCATCATAGCTGACCTCCTGTATCCCTCCAAGTGCCCCAAGGTCAGGGGTCACTCACCGCCATGACCAGCTCGAATGGATACTTGTAGATGCGGACAGGAGACTGGTACTTCTGCACCATGTTCTTGCAGGAATACAAGCGGAAGCCACCCAGGCAGGAGTGAGCACAGAGCCTGGGTGAGAGAGACTGGTGAGGTAGCAGCTCCCTCCAAGAGAAGCAGGAATCCTGCCCACTGCTCCCCCACGCAAGGGGCAGGCCCACACACTCTGGCCCCACCCACACATCTCCCCAGCCCTCAAAGCAAAGGAGGCGAGGTGATCCCCAAACTGCTTCAGGCTAGGCCCCCAACACCGACCCACTGCCCCAGAACACATTTGCTCTTCAGGAGCAATCAGTACCTTCTAACTTTCCTCCATCCCCACATCTTCACTCTGAGGGACCTGGAAACCCCCATAAAGCTACCCACATGACAACACAGACATTCGCAATTCTTACACTCCCACAGTTCACACCCACGAACCACACAGCTTGCCGCGGACGTCCTGACCCTGCAGTCCCAAGAATCACTACCTGCCTTCCCATTTTCCTCCAAGACACCCTGACATACACAGTCTTCACCAGATTTCACACTCACTGCCTCTATCACATGCCCACACATGCACAACTCCTCTCCCACACGGGACTGCCCTTTCACATGCACTGCGCATGCATTCAACTTTGCACAAACACCTAGTTCCCTGGAGCACGGACTTAGCCAACTCCACGCTCGCACACAATTCCCCTGAAGCTCACAGACGTCCACACACAAGCACAAACACCGATGCACACATATACACACGCTTGCACGCACACGCCCCCAGCAGCTCGGCTCACCCTCGGCCTCGGAGTCTCCTGGGACGCAGCTCCGGGACAACACGGAGCTGAGCCCTCCAGGGTCCCTTACGGCCTCCTGGCCGGGAGCACAGCGCCTGGGGAGGAGTGCAAACGCGGTCACCGAGCCTGGGGCGTCCGATCCTGCACACCCTGAGACCGGGAGGGTCAGGGAGGGGCCTGCGGGACCGGAGCGATCCCTGCCAGGCGGGAGCGCTCCAGGACCCAGGACAGCGGAGATCCTGGCCTGGCCCCACCCCCGCCCAGCCACGGCCCCGCCCAGATTTACCCGGCCTTGGACTGGCCCCGCCCTGGACTGGCCCCACCCCAGTCTTAGCTCCTCCTTTCACTTTGTGCGTCCTTGTTTGACCACGCCCCCATCCCATCCCGTCCTCCAGACTGGCCACGCCTCATGCAGGCCCCGCCTACCTAGGGTCGCACCCCTAGGGCAACCAGCCTCGGGGGTGGCCAAACCCCAGGAAGATTCCGCCACAAGGCTCCACCCCCAGTGTAGCTCTGCCCTCCGGTGAACCTTTGCCCCGCCCAGCCCCTTTGCCCCAATACAGTTCACGTTGAGCCCCTTCCCTAACTCGGTCAATTTCCTCCACCTGGGCTCTGAGTCAGGTCGCTCCCCTGGCCACGTCCCAGAGCCCACTTGGTCCTGCCCCAAGCCGGGCCATGCCTCTCTCATTCACTTTGCGTGTGTTTATAGAGACCCCGCTAAACGTCAGGTCTTTTCAGGCGCTAGAGTCGTCAGTGAACAAAACAGGTAAAAATCTTACCCTTCGTGGAGTATAAGGCAAATATATGGCGCTATGTGAGACAGGGGAAAATGCTAAGGTGAAAAAAATAAACAGGGAAGGGGTTCAAAAGCGAGCAGAGGGAGGGTACGGTTAAAAATAGGGTGGACTGGGGCTCTCCTGGGAGCGTGACGTTTGCCCATTATCCTCACTTTAGCTCACAGGCAAACCCTTCCAGCCCTCCCAGGATCCCGAAGACCCAGCCTCCCTTCCATAGCCCTCCCTGCCCTCTGCCCATCTGTTCGGCCTGGAGGAGCCAAGAAGCTGGCTCTGGACACTCTTGTCATCCGTGTATTCATTCATTCGACATTTACTGAGTACCTACTATGAGCAGGACTGGGTGACTTCACCCATTTGCAAGAGGGACTCAAAAAGTAGGCATGTCTTTACGTGGCCCACAGTCCTGAGCAGGGAGACGATGAACAGGGAGACAGACAACGCTCCGTTTAGCAAATATATTGTTGCACCTCGTGGTAACCAGCCCGCTTGCTTCCTTCCTAGCATGTGTCACACTCTGTAATCATCTTATTTATTTATTCATTTTATTTATTTGTGGGTCTGACCTGGGAGACTGTGAACTCTGTGAAGGTTAGAGACTGCATCTGCCCCGCTCTGCAGGATCTTACTGGGGACCTGGCGCTCAGTGCGTTTTCTCGATTAAGGTGATCAAGGATGGAAATGGAGCGCACAGTTCCCACATCTGCCACAAGGTGGCAGCAAACAACAGCCCATGGCTCCTGGATCGTCACGAAGGGGAATTGGGGGAGATGAGCCTCCAGGGATGTTTCGCTGTACCCAGGGTTCACCAAGGAAACTTCCTGGGCGTCAGTGCAGGGCGTTAGCGAGCATTCACACACCGTCGGCTGTTGTTACAGCACGAAAGGTATTGAGTTGGCATAAAGTAACCATTGAGCGGGATGTTTACTCCGGAAAGAATAGGAGGGAACAGTCTATCCCAAGCTCTCCAGCTCCTAAGACTCCCCTCGGCAGGATGCGTGTTGAAATGCAGATTCCAGGGCACCTCTCAAAGAGCCTAAGAATGTGCTCATTTAACAAGCTGGTTCTTCTAAGTGGACACGTCTGGTAGTGCTGGCTGGCAGATCGCAGGTCATTCCCAGCGCTTGGGGATCCCAGGATCTTGGAGTGAACGCCGGCCCTGGGAGGGAGGAGGTGCGCTCAGAAGCCGGGGAGGTCTGCTCATAAGAGCTCCTCCCAGATGTGGTCGTGCTCCCACTCCCATTACTCTCTTCCACCGGGGCAGAATCTTCCTGGCCACCCCTACACGTGTCTCCTTTGCCACAGAAGGTGACATCTTGGGGGAGCTGGAGCGGGCACCAGAGATGCAGGTAGAGAGGGGTCCAAGAAAAGCCAAGAGGAGCAAAGGAGAGACCCTGAGACTGCGGGGAGGCTTCAAGTCTCCCGGCTAGTCAGCGCCGCCCCTCCCACAACCGGGGAGGACACTACTGGTTGGGGGAAGGGGTGCGACAACTGCAGGGGTAGAGAGCTCAAAGTGGAAAATGGGGCTGGGAGGGGAGGGAGAGCCTAATTCCCTCCTTCTACAGCCAAAGAAAGAGAATTAGTAACAGCACCTGCCAGGTGCTTCCTATATAACCAACACTGTTCTACTACCAATCATTCCTGCCATTTATTGAGCCCTTACTTGACACAGGCTGTACCAGGCACAGGTCTAAGGCTTTACAAACATTCACACATTAAGTCCTCGAAAATAACCTCTGTGGTGATGAAAATGTTTTGGCACTCTACAGAGACTGGTTGCACAACACTCTGAATGCACTAAATGCCACTGAGTTGTACACATTAAAATGATTAATTTTTTGTTATCTGATTATACCTAAATTAAAGCAAAACAAAAAGAAACAAAAAAAACCTTTTAAGGTGAAAACTCTGTTAATCCTCATTTTAAAGACAAAGAAACTAAGACACAGAGAGTTTAGGTAATTTGCCCTAGGTCACACAGCTACTAAGGAACTTCTTCCCCCAGGGCTGCAGCTGGAATCCCAGGAAGATGTGATTTCCCAGCCTGAGCTGCAAAAATATCCAGGCAGGAGTCCCGCGCCCGGCGTCACCATGCCCGAGTGCCCCAAGTGCGACAAGGAGGTGTACTTTGCTGAGCGGGTGACCTCCCTCGGAAAGAATTGGCATCGGCCTTGCCTGAAGCGTGAGAAATGTGGAAAGACGCTGACCTCAGGGGGTCACGCCGAGCATGAAGGCAAGCCCTATCGCAACCACCCCTGCTATGCTGCCATGTTCGGACCCAAAGGCTTTGGGCGTGGTGGAGCTGAGAGTCACACTTTCAAGTGAACCCAGGTTTTGGAGATCCCATCCCTGGCTGCCCGCTGGGCCGCTGCCCCTCCAGGCTGAAGGGAGGCCTTCCCCACAAGCACCTGGGTCTCCCCTGTAGACCCCTATGCCCTCAATAAACCCGGACTCCTGGAAAAAAAAAAAATATCCAGGCAGGCATCCTGGCTCGGGACTGAGGTACCAAAAAGATGAGCTGTCTCCATGGGAACATTAGGGGCATGAAGTCAGTCTCAGGGGCAGGACCTTCATCCTCTATCTGCTGCTTCCTACCCGCCCTGCAGGAATGACCAAGCCACAGCTGCCTTTTGGTAAGTGGGTTTGGAAGACTCCAGAAACCACCCCACATCTTTGAATATCTCCCTTGCAAATGGACCATTACCACAGGAAATTCAGCCATTAGAAATGCATTTATTTGAGTAAAACACTGGGCCTAATCCAAGCACAGATGCCCCTGGAAGGCAGCCTGCAGGGAAATGTCCTCAGTTGGAAAGCTCAGTGTGACACTGTTAAGGTAAGGAGGGGGATGGGAGTGAGAAGGTCCAGGGGTCTAGACCCTGGTGGGGGTACAAGTGGCCCTTGATCTGGGCCCTAGAATGCATAAAGGCCCTGGGAAGGCACTGAAGCTAGAGAGAGTGGGGCATTTTTTATTGTGATAAAACACACATAATATAAAAGTTACCAGTTTTAACCACTTTTAAGTGTACAATTCAGTAGCTTTTAATATATTCACAGAGTTGTGCATCCATCACCACTGCCTACTTCCAGAACATTTTCATCACCCAGAAAGAAAACTAGTACCCATCAAGCAGTCACTTCTTCCTCCCTCTCCCAACCCCGACAACCCTCATTCTGCTTTCTGCACCACATCTCATTTGTCCCAGGGCCTGCTTCTAATCGTGCTCCTTCTTCCTCCTCCTAAGAGTGGAGCTCAGAGACCTCCTAGATTTTGGGAACCTTAAGGGCCAACAGGGTCATTGGCAAGGTGAGCATGCTGTAGCCTGCACAACTCTATGCAGTGGTCCTGGTCATTGGGCAGCTTGGATTCAGTGGATGCTGAGTCTGTGGGAGTCTGACTCAGAAGGTTGCACAGCCAGGCCCCACCCACCCCCACTCCCACCCCCAACGTCCAGTCACTTACACACACACACACACAACACACGCATGATTTGGGATTCCACCAGGCACTGAATGTGGAGTCAGTGTCCAAAGGTGAGTAAAAGCCTCTGAGCCCCAGGAGTTCTCAGCGAGGAGGGGAGGGAACAAGAGCAAAGGTAAGATGCCCCAGAGTAAGGGGCTGAATGGCAAAGTGGTGAGTGCTGGAGTCAGGTCAGCCTGCGTGTGAGTTTTGGCTCTGCCACCTTCCAGCATCCTTGCAGTGTATGTGGCTGCAGTGTCTCCCTTAAAATGGGGGTGACGTGGAAATTATTCCACCTTAAAAAAGATTCATCATGGTTGAACCTTCAAGATACGCTCAGTGAAAGAAGCCAGACACAGAAGGACGAATGTTGTGACATCCCACTCATATGCAGTACCTAAGTCATCAAGTTCACAGAGACAGGAAGTGGAAAGGTGGCTGCCAGGGGCAGGGGGAGTTAATGTTTAGTGGGTGCAGTTTCAGTTTGCAAGAGGAAAAAGTTGTGGATGGTGGTGATGGTTGCACAACAACGTGAGTGTACTTAATGCCCCCTACTCTCCAACCTCTGCCCATGACCTTCCTGGGGCCCAAAGTCACCTTGATGACTGAGGACGAGGTCCCCTGGGGGGCAGTAAGAAGGAACCCTCGTGTACGAGCTTCCCACTGCTGCTGTAACCGATTACCACACACTTAGTGGCTTAAAAAACAACACAAATTTATCATCATACAGCTGTGGAGGTCAGAACCTGAAATCAGTCTCACTGGACTACAGCCCAGGTCTCCACAGAGTTAGCTGCTTCTGGAGGCTCTGAAGGAAGACTCCATTTCCTTCCCTTTTCCAGCTCCTGGAGGCTGGGTTCCTTGGCTTGTGGCCCCTTCCTCCATCCTTAAACCGCATCACTCCATCTCTCTTCATTGGGGCATCCCATGGCCTTCTTTTCTGGTGTGTCCTTGTCTCCAATCTCTTTCTGCCTTTCTCTTATAATGACCCCTATCGTTGGATGCAGGGCTCACTCTAAATCCAGGATGACCTCTTTTGTTTAAGTACATCTAATAGACTCTATTCCCAAATAAATTCACATTCCCAGGTTTCAGGGAGTTAGTTCTTGGACTTGTCTTCTTTGGGGGGCCACCATCAGCCCACTGCGGGGCCCAGCTTGCGACTGCACCCTGGGTTGGCTTGCCTCCCCTGGTGTGCCCTTCCCATCCCCTGCCCCTGTGACCTGAGGTCACTGCCAAAGGCAAAGATCCTGCACTCAAGCTCTGCATTCAGGGGGACCTGGGCCAGGACAGCTATGGCCTCCGAATCCTCTGGGTTGAAGGCAGGACGTGTCACTATTGCCTTTCAGCAGATCAGTTGTGATGCCAGCCCCCCATGTGAGTCCGAATAGTACCGGGGAGTAGGGACGGGCAGAGGGAGAGTCAGGGCTGCAGTGCAGTGGTCAGAGGTCCAGGAGGGATGAAGGAGGCTGGACCACGACGCTGCAGCCGGGACTCCAACATCCAGAGGTCAGCTTGGGTCCTGACTCTGCCCACCAAGCTGGGGTCAGACCAAGGAGTCTGGCAGGTTGAGTTGGGGGCAGCCACAGGCACCAAAAGCTAAGCTTGGCCTCGTCAATAGACCCCCAGGGACCCTACCACCCAGCTCAGTCCCTGAGGCCCTGGCTGCCCAGCCAGCACCATCCCCAAGCTTCCCCTGCCTTGGGGAGAGGCCAGGGTTCTAGGTCGTCCACTTCTCCATTCCTGGGCCCAGGCTGACTCTCTGGAGCTACCCAGTGTGCTAATTAAATTAATTAAATGGATCTGAACATGTCATCTACTTATATAAATAATAAATATACTCTAAACAGCAAAATGAAACAGCCCGCTTCACAAGCCACATTTCAAGTGTTCAGTGGCTATGTGTGGCTCGTGCCTCCTTCAAAATACGGACCATTTCTATCATTGCAGGAAGTTCTGTGGGACAGGGCTGTTTCGAGTCATCCTTGGACCAGCAGAGGCTGGGCCCTGTCTCGGGAACAGGATGAGCTGGGAGGGAGTGGAGCAGGGACCCCAGGGCCAGGAGGCGGGGGTGTTTGTCCAGAGGTGACTGGCGTTGACTCATCAGTTCCAAGTCCTGGGCCCGGGTGAGGGATTAAGCCAGAGCTGGTGACCGGAGGGTGGCCTGGGAGGGCAGCCCGAGGTGGCTTGGCCTCCTGGGTCCAGGGCAGGAATGTTTGACCTCAGCAGAGAGAGTGGACAAAGGGCCCAGGCAGGCCCAGACCCAGGTAGACCGGCAGAAGGGCAAACTGGCCAAATTAGGGGCAGCTCTACTTTAAATCACAAATGGCAAGAATACAGCACCGACTGCTTCTCTTACTACATGCTGGGCTTTCCTCGCTGTGAGACCTGCGCACTCCTCGCCTTCCTGACCCCGGTCCACCTTTCCAGAGCAAGGCCGTTTCGTCGTTCATCAGCCGCTGCCCCACTGATGGGCATTTAGGTCATTTCATTTCTTTAAATGTGGTCGTCCGCTTGCTTTTCTATCGCTTTCCCTTCCCAGACTGGGGGCTGCAGGCCGTATCTGGCTAGCTGCTGGGTCCACAGGGTGGGGCATACAGTAGGTGGTCCATAAATGGATGGTGAATGTGTGGGAGGCACTGTGGGGGCAAGAGGTCATGATCCTCCCCTTGGGGCCAGGGGAGCCTGATTCCCGTGGAAATATCAGTGACTCTTGGGAGGGAAGGAGGATGATGAAGGAACCCGGGGTCCCTGCCAGCAAGGATCTCCCCCCTCTTCCTTGCCAGGACTCCAGCCACCCTCAGTCTGGGGTCTGGCCACTTTCCTCACAGTGTCCCCAGTCCTCCCTCTCCGTGACTTTGTCTGCCTGGGGTGCTCTGTCCTTGGGGTCATAGGAGCCATGCCACCACCCACACAGGAACTTCACCCCAGTCCTCTGCCACCAACTCTCTGAGGGCAGGAACCTGTATCCATTGTGCTTACCTTCTATCCTGTTTGCCTAGAACAGGACTTGTCACATAGTAGATGCTCAATAAATATTGGATGAATGAACGAATGATTCCCTTCTCTTCCACCATGGTTCTGACTCAGGACCTGCTAGGCCGTGGTTGGTCCTCCTCTGGGGACCTTCCCTGGGACCACCACGGTGCCTTGACCCTCTTGTTCATTCATTCATTCACTCAACATGACCCTGGGCACCTACTCTGTGCCATCCACTGGTGGTGGAGGTGGGGACAAGCGTGCTGGCTCAGAGAGCAGAGTTTAAATCCTGAGGCCCCTCCTGACCCCTTTGAGCAAGCGCTGAATGTCTTGGAGCTTCTGCTTCCACATCTGAAAAATGGGAAGAAGGGGGCCAGTTTGTCATCTTTGCTCTGGTGATGGTTCCACCATTGGGTGCTTGTGTCAAAACTCATCAGATGGTAGACTTTAAATATGTGCACTTTGTTGTATGTCTATCACCCGTCAGTGAGGCTGGAAATCACAGGGCCAACTCCCCAGGCCGAGCACTAAGCCCAGGGCCTGGCTTAGAGTAAACGCTCAACAATAGTTGTTATTTTCTGTTATTATTACATGTCTTACTTCACTGAATTCTTTTAAGACCCTAAGGAGCTGGTGCCGGAGTGTGCCCATTTTGCAGGTGGAGAAACCAAGGTTTAGAGAGTTGAAGACATTTTCCCAGGGTCACATAGCTAGGAGATGGAGGAGCTGGGATGTGACATCTTAGCTCACTGGTTCTTATTCATTTTACAAATGGAGAAATTGAGGTTCAGAGAGGTTAAGCCACCTGCCTAAGATTACATAGCTGGGTGCATGGAAGAGCCAGGATTTCAATTGGGGTTGGTTTCAAGCTAAAATTTGATTTGATTCTGCGTTCTGTCCCCTGTGGCCTGGACTGTCCATCACTCAGGCCCCCAAGCTCAGGAGGGAATGGGCTCCTGACCTCTTGACTGGGCCATCCCATCCCCAGGGGCTGTCACACACTGGCCCCAGAAATGTAGCCCCTGGGGCAG